CATATGCCTTGCTCCTTGCATATATCCCGCTTCTTCTGATCGCGCATTTTCTGTTCATCCAAATCTATCTGGCCTCTCCTATGAAACATTGAATTAAGACTATAGTGTTGCCTACCATGAAATTCGAATCCTAGTCGCAACTCTTCGTTATATCTATCAAGTTGCATTCCATGCAAAAAATTCAGCCTACATGATGGAAATTTCTTGCCTAGTAGATCCTCAAAAATATATCGGCATTGGCGTTCACCGCTTCTATGATGGCAAAGAGGACACCATTCGAATTTTTTCATGATATATTTTAATGGATACTCCCATTGATGCGCACCATTTTCACAAGACCAAAGATATACATCATGACCATTTATTTGCCCGGTCTTTCCAAGACATTGACCACCACGCTTCATGGCATAATCCACGGCCTGAACTGACTTACTACTGGAAGCATGAACATAATGGACGAATCCAGTAGGGTGATATTTCCGCATAAATTCATCAGGCGGATACTCGATTTTATCAGGTTCTTCAATCACTTGAAGTTCCTCATATTTTAAGGGTCGTTTGGGGTTCCGTCCTATCAAGTGAGCAGTAGATTCAATGGGCTCATCCTCGAGATAATATAAGACTGGTTGTGGTGGATTCCTTCCGACAACAACTCTTTTGATCTTGTATACACGTAATGACCAGTACGGATCAGTTGCTCGATGCCTATGATCGCCTTCCAACTCGCCCGGTTTCAACAAATATCTAACTGCTGTACCCTTTTTTAACCTTATCTTTTCATATCTCCCAATTGCACGCTTAGCTTTCTTAGAGGGCTTTGACACAACTTCTTCCAAAGTCATAACGTGAGCTGGTGCCATTCCAATAAGACGAGTTTTACTATTATTCATAAAATCAATGTACTTCATAAGAATTTTATTCCATAGTCTTGATCGTTCTCCTTCAGCCAATCGCCCCTCTATAGCATATTGGACCTTATATATTAATTTTGCTAGATTTTTCTTGAATGCTTTGATCAAAGCCAAGCTCTCGAAACTATAAAGGTCGACGACACGTATCGGGACATTGTGCTGTTCCATCCCTCGTGAAAATGCGCCTCGGAACGAAGCATCACCATCAGTCATCAATAATTCTGGCCATGTAAGAGGATTAGAAGGATCCTCATATATTTCTTCGACCGCATTCCAGATTTCTAAACTATTTCTTGATGTTAATGAACGTCCAGCCTTAAAACGTGTTGCCACATCTATGACTAGAAAACTACAAACGAATACCCTTCTACCATCCTGATCATCGTGAGTATGGAGCAAAATGTCACACTGGTGCACCTTATTTGGAATTTTGATTTTTGAGAAACTCGCCTCGGCTTTGCATAGCAATGGCTGTTGATAGATTTGGTAGCTATATTGATATTTTACCCATTTTGCGATATCCTGTAATCGAAAAGAATATCCTTCTTCCTGACACGCTTTATGTAGTTTTTTTGCATTGGGATGAAAACCAGGTATATTATAAAACAGAAGTCTACAGACTATACGGAGCTCATCATCAGGATCTATCACAATTTGCGGTTGGCTCATTCTTAAGACAGGATTATTATGATAGTACTATAAATCAGGGCTGAATAATAGCATGTTTGATCCGGCATATTCACAGCTTTTAGATACGAATCAGGAGCTTCGTAGTGAGCTTCAGGATGAGATTTTCAATAATAAAAGTAATGAGAAAAAAATTCGTTCTCTTGTGAAGGAGCTAGAGCAATGTTATCGAACTATCTCATTACAGGATAATACTATCATAGCCCACGAAAAAGAGGTAGAGAAACTTAAATCAGAAATATCTGATTTGCGAAAACAGCTTAGGGTTTTGCAACAGGATAAAAAATTCAAAGATGAGGTTGGATCTATTCAAGATGGCCGAATCATAGAGCTCGAAAATAAGGTTGGGAGCCTTAAAGCAAGAATCGGGATTCTTATAGATAAAAAAATCCCAATAAATGCTTTAAATATGGCAACGACTAATCTTATTGCAAACGTTAATAGAGGATTAGATCGAATTGAAAATCATATTAGGGGAGTTGGTACGCCTATGCAGAATCCCGCCAATGTTATAGATGGTATCAGAGGCTCGTTAAATACTATTCGGGTTACTTTACAAAATATCACAGCTGAGCGTGATCAATATCAGAACTTATTACATGATTCAATTCAGCGAGTAGATAATCTTAGGAATCAGTTTACCGATAGTGGAAATCAGAATTTACGGTTACAACGTTTATTAGATGAATCCCGAGTTCGGGTTGAAAGAACTGTGAGAGAGAGGGATAATGCTCAAGGAGAGCGGGACTTGGCTATGCTGGCCTATAATAATGAGAGACGAGAATCCCGTCGCTGGATGTTTTCATATTGGGATAAAGATAGGCGTGTCCAAGGATTATTGCGAGAAAAATTTGCTAAACAGCTATTGTATCAGCGAGATACTAATCGTCTTCAGCAAAATACCCGACGGTTGCAGACTAATGCCCAAAACCAGGTAAATAGGATGTTAGTCATTATAGCGAGAAAACAAACCCGCATTG